ACACACACACACACACACACACACACACACACACACACACACACACACACACACACACACACACCGAGCCTGATCAGCAGCTCCAACCTGACTGCACCTACCTGCAGAACGAGGAGGCTGTAACTCTCTCTGTCAGGGCCAGGTTCTGCCTGGTGGGGATGAGGCCGATGCTGTACCTTCACAAACAACCAGTGAGACGTCAGGACAGCTGCCGACTCAGGTGGGGTTAAACACACAAACGATTCCTACAACTAATCTGAAGTCACTGAAGTTTACACACAATCATCACGAGCAGAAATTATTGATAAGATGAGGCCGTCCTAAAGACAAATACGAAATGATGACTCCYAAGACAACGAGCACCTCTAACCCCCTCCAACATTTTGTCTTTGCATCTTGATTTATTGTGTTGTTAGTATTTTCCTTAGGGATGCACCGATATGAAAATTTCAGCCAATATCGATATCCAATATAATTATTGGTGTTATGGCCGATAACCGATATTGACCAATATTACACAAACATACAAATTATATTATACATTTTGTCAAGAGGGCCTGCAGTCCAGGATGTTCATAATTCTGGAATCAAACCTAGAGAGTTTTTCCCCCCACAGAAACGAGACCTAGACAGGAAAAGAAGACATCATAAGAAGAACGGAGGCCAAGAGGCAAAGAGGTTGAGAAGGCAGCAAGAGGGAATATGATGAAATAATGTAATCAATTTTAAGAATGTATCTAACCTAAACAATGATTATTATAACTGTGATTCTTTTGATTAATGTACTGTGATTATTGATGATTTAGAAACCTGTGATTTATGTTTAAAAATGTTAAGATGGTGATTAGGGCAGACAGAAATATATTCTGTAAAGTCAGTTGTATGGTTGTGTGGCAGTTCATGTACAGACAAGTTTGAACATCATGTAAGCTGAACATTGCTTCACTTTTCTAACTGTCAGAAAGCTTTCAGTTCCCCCTTTCTAATGGTCAGAGTGCCTCACTTCTCCAATTTCACAAAGAACCTTGGGCAACTGAAGCTTCTCGAAGATGTTGACATAACAGAAAAAGTGGACTTGCTTCATAATGGAAAAGTACCACGAAAAACACATGACACATGATCACCCCAAGAAAGGTGGGAGGCAAGCTCACAGAGGAAGATAAAAGACCGAACTGAACCACAGCAAGTGTCTTCGTGTCATCGGCTGAAGGAAGAACAGCTAAAGAAGCAGCAGGACTCCAAGGCAGCAGATCAGCAACCGGTTCTGGAGATCATCACTCGTCTGGGCATGAGCTGAACCACATTCCTCGACCGAGCTTAAAAAGGACCGAAGACCAGAATTTGGACCAAGCCCATCACTGAGAGAGATCTTTTTCAGACAACAGCCGGACCTCATGGGGGTAAAAGAACTGACTGCTTTGTCCTGTCTTCTATGAAATTAACAGAATATGCCACACTTCTTAATCAGGAAGATAGTTCAGCATTTTAGAGTGTTTTATTTTAATCACCATCGAATATTAATCAATCAATTACTAATCAATATAAATAATTTGTATAATCAGATGTGGCAATTCTTGCAAATTCTATTAAACTGCTTACAAGCTTCATAAAGACAAATTAATTGACTGGACATTGATATTTCTGGTTGTCCTCTTTAACAAATTTCTCTGATTACAGGAGAGTCCTATTAGGGTAAAGTAACAAGGTAATTACCTATTATATATAGGTGTGGTTACTTTAAAGCAAGTAATAATAAAAAGGAGGTCAGATTATAATAAAGTTCATTTTATGGTTTATTAGCCACAGAGGGGAGATAGGATAACTCCTCTCTGTAAAAACAGTTCCCTTGAGACCTATTTTACTGGTCACAAAATCCCATCTCGACCACACTAAGAAGTGCACATCCTACAAGAGAGCGCTGCCAGAAGAAACGACAGTGCCCAGCAGATCTGAGGCGTCCCTGTGCTACTACGCCTGCACTGAAGCTGGGGTTCACGAAGGGAGCGACTGTCGGAAGAAGGTGGGCAGTTGAAGGTCGAGCTCAAGGCTCTCGCATGATGTCTCTCTGAGGAGACAGGTCAGACTCGGAAGCATCAGTCACACACCAGACTTGACTGTGACAGCCACCCCTGAGTGGCTGTGGGCCTGATTCACAGAGCTGCATCAGCCACCCTCCTCCAAGTGACTGTGAGTCTGACCCATCGCTCCGATCAACGAAGAGGCATCGACTTCTCTCCAAGACCCACCAGTGTCCGGGCGGGTAAACTGGGGGAGGAGCCACAAAGGACAAGAATTTACACACAAACACACTTGGGTCTTTTTTGATACTGTAAATAAACAACCAGACCTCTGACATGGCTCCTTACTTCAGTTATTCCGGGCTGCACAACATCAATATTACTATCATGATCAAACAGATGCTGCTCAACCAACCATCTCACCTCCCAAAACAGAAACACAAAGATAAAAATTGMGAAATCCATATCGGACATTAATATTGGCCCCATTTTACATATTGGACCAATACTGATATTCCAAAGAATGACCAATATCGGCCGATACCGATATCAATACCGATATATCGTGCATCCTTAATTTTCGTCTTCTGTTTGCAGCTCAGACCCATCATCAAGCAACCAGCAGAACCCTCAGGAACTCACAGTTTCTCTAACAAGCGGTGCGTGCTCTGAGCCCTGAAGCCGTCCTTCTCATCCAGGTCCCGGATTTTCTGTGCCAGGTCTCTGATGTTACGGCTCAGCTTGTTGTACCTGAGAAACAAATTTAAATAAGAATCAGAATTTAGATGAAAATCCAAAACATTTCTGTCTTTAATACCAGGTGTGTGAAATCAGTAATGACTCAGGTGGAGTTTGGTTTCCCATCACAGTTACCCTCTAAACACTGGTTTTACTTGATTTGAAATTATGGAAACCTACAGAGATCACAGAATTACAAAAAACACACAGAATTCAAATGTTTATTGATTTTGCTTCAAAAAAGTTGTTTGATTTTCTGAAAGAAGCAAAAAGATTTTTCCCAAAGACCTAAAATCATTAGTTTATGTTTTCAACTAACCAGATTTCAGGTGTAAGAAAACATTGATAAACTGAAATACAGTGTTGTATAAAGTACCAAAAAGTGATACTTGAGTAAAAGTACAAGTATCTCATCAAAAAATGACTTTGGTAAAAGTTAACATCTCCTTTAGGAATATTACTTGAGTAAAAGTCTTAAAGTATCTGATATTTTTTTGTACTTAAGTATTAAAAGTAAAAGTATTGCCTTAAAACGAGCAGTTAGATTTTCTGTAAGGACATTTATTAGGAGGTGTGTAAGACCTCATTTTGTTATAACAGAGTATTATGTAATAACGTAATAAAATCAGGCTTCAAAATGTAATAAACTCACACTAAAACCGCATTATGTAATAAGTGACGCAAAATGTAATAAAAGTCTTCAACGCATTATGTAATAATGTTATTACACTTTGCGGCATTTTTTACAAAATGTGTTTGTGTAATGATCTGGTGCATTTATCTAATAAACAATCAAAAACCAGTTTTTCTGTTCATCCTAATGAATATACTTGTAATAACTGTCATGTTGCAAATACTACAT